ATTGAAAAATTTATAACTCCGTCAAATTTTTGAGTATCCGCTTGAAACTTTTACACAAAATATCTACCCTAATCTAGTATTTACGCTGAAAGTATCAGCCTTCAAGTGTGTTTCATTTTATGGCGCTGTTAAATCGTCTCCTTTTTCTTCGATATATATATAGTCTACTTTTTTAGTTCAGTTTAAACTTTATTCACTTCTCGATAGCATGACGTTTGGGTTATATTGTGCGTTACGTACTTCACAGGTAGGCTCAGAAGAAGTGTTTTTTTAATGTTCTGCTGAAGTGAGAGAAAAAACAGAACGATCGACAGCACATAAAATTAATTTGAAGTGGAAACACCTATTTCTTCCAAAGAAGTATTTTTGTTATTGTAGCAAATGAATCTGTTATTACAGAATATTTCTGCTTCAATAGTGAACTTCAACAGGACAGCGCTTTCCTCCTTTTGCCAGTGAGAAACATGTAGCTTTTAACTGATTCACTTGAAAATGAAAATGCAGAAGGATTAAATTTACAATTCCTTACCCACCGCCTAGTCCAAAGTTGTGAAGATCCGTTCGACATCTGGATGTATCTTGACGCATGTTTTAACCCTGTGGAAATATATTCACCAGGATTAGTTCATATATTTCGCAAGGAAGTTAATGCCTCTTGCAAAAACTATTTATCGTCTTCGATGAGTTCTACTTTTGAGAACGAACACGATTCATTCATGAGTGTTTTTCCCAATTTATCTGAGATGTGAAAAAGGAAAACGATTTAACAAATGAAAAAAGAGAAGAAAACTCCATGTATGCGTCTCTTTCTATCCTCTCCTTTAAAGTCTCGAAATTTTTGTTGCGCCCACCGTGTAGTATCCTACCATATACTTTTCTCAGGCTTTATCTTTTTAATGATGACTAACTTTAGTCTAGTAAAGGTAAGCGTATACCGATATAGGAGGACAGAAAGGGTGTAGTGTCCTCACATTTTTTTCGCAATATATCAGTTAATAATGCCTTTGCTCGTTATTAACAAAAAAAGAATAAACTCTATGACAAACCGCTATTGAAAATCTTGGGACGTATTTCAGGTGTAACTCTTATATAGAGAGAACGCTGTATTAAAGGCTGTATGAAATACTCAATTTTAGTACTTCTAGCAAGATGCCTGTAACTTTTTGATGCAATGTCATAAAGAGTTGTGCGAGGTTTTTTTTTGATCAGAAACGTTTGCTACAAATCTGTGTGTTCGGGAAATTTTTAAATGCATAAGTATCCCAGGAAAAACCTATTAGTTGAAGACCCGGTTTTTCAAGGCTTCTAGAAAACTTGCTCAAAATCCGCTAAAAACCACTTTTGAAACCAAAATCGGTACAGATTCTGAAGGTAGACACTTTAGGCTACTAGTGCGTACCTCAAAACCGATTTTTGATCGAAAATCACCATTGCTGAGAGGGGATTCCCCCCTAAAAAGTCGGTTTTCCGGGTTATTTACATCGTAGAATCGAACAAACACTGTTAGAGATAAACATAAATTTTCGTTGAATAATCGAGTTTCTCAATGGCAGTACGGACTGTTTCTTAACATTTTGCAACTGTTTTTGTATTAATTTTAGTTATCATGTTATACATATAATCAAATTGTTTTGCATCATACTGTTAAAGTTTAACATCGGTCGACTACTACTCAGATTCCTAGGTTATAAATTACCAGATAAAAATGCTTTTTCAATATAGAAACCGTTTATGAAATTCTGAGAGCACAGTTATGCTGACAACAATCAGACACAGATCAATAAGAGCATCTGTGAATGACCCCACAGGAGACATCACCGTATTTTTGAATTTAGGTAGAGATCCACGTCTGGCCGTCTATGTCATGGTTACTAATGCTTCTATATCAAGTTCTGGTGGTACCAGAATAGAGTTCTCGTGTAAGTTCTTGAAATACTCGTTAAAAGGAAAACTGATCAGGCAAAAATAGACTATATTTTATTGAAATTTGCAGAGAATTGAAAAGTTCTTGTTTAAAACGCAAAATTGCGGAATTTGTAGAACTTCAACTTCCCTCAAACAGATATATCTACACTAGAATATAATTTAGTTGTCGTTTTGTTTTATAAACTACATATTATTGTATTTATGTGCGTAATTAATCATTTTGTTAATTGGATTATTCACAAGCTGTAGTTTATGCAAGAATTTTGCATTCAATCATACTAATGCTAATCATTGGTTTCTTGATAGTGATCGACACAAGTATATTTTGTATTTTAAACATAGAATACGGCACCTTGTTGTGGAAAATAAAATTTATATTTTTTTAACGACAGTTCTTTTTGGATTTCTTCTCGAATTGTAATAAGATTTTTATCGGGTTTTTGATGTGTGGGAATGATGATTACATTATCCAATAACCTTTCGTTTCCACCACCTAATTTTGTTCTCAAAATATCGAGCTCAACAGCTAATAGTTTGGGCGTTAGATGACCAAAGAGCAGGTTTGTTGGTTGACTATTCATGTAAGATACTTCAATAAATACGGCTCGAAGATCGATGGCTTTCGACATCATTTTTTCAGCAATTTGTTTCCAAAGCGTTTTCATGTAAGTCGACTTTTGGGTCTTGTCTTTGTCTTCATATTCATATTCATCGCTGCCAGTGTCTCCTAGATACAAAATGGCTGGTGCTGTCGACGATGATTCAGATTGTTCGACGAGGAACGCACTGCTCAAAACGGGAAAAACGTGTCTTAGCTTGTATACAGTGACTTTCATGTTTGTTTGGTCGATTAACTGTGGAAACGTGTTTGGTTTCAGAACTTCATACTTATAGGTTTTGATCTGGAAAGTTTCAGGATTTGATTCAGGAGCTGCATTTCCCATATTTGGCCATGCTTTACCATTGAACAAATGATCTCGGATAACATCGATTGTTTCTTTGATGCCGTAGATACTTTTAGAAGGGTTCGATCCATTGGCACGCAGATCATTTGGTGAGTTATGAATCACTAAAATAATAGTCATAGAAATGCCTTTCAGTTTTGCGCTAAACTCTCACTCACTGCCAGCTGTATGATCGAGATGACCATGTGATATTAGGTACGCCTTGATATTCTGTTGAAGAACTTGATCTTCGTCGCCAGGTTGCACACCAGGAAAGAGCCTTCTCGATTCGTCATTTTGTAGTACAGCTTTGAGGCCATATCGAATAGTACCGGCATCGAGGCAGATGTATCTGTCAGAATTGATTGGAGCCAACATGTATGCTGATAGACTACTTTCATCCAGACCGCCGAAAATACCCAACGGTAAAATAGAGAATGCTGAACTGGAACTTCGTTTGCTCAGGTCACCACTGCCTATTTTCGGTAACACAGCATAGTTCGAAAAGATTGTAGGCCCAAATCGGAAATGATCACCATCGCCTAGCAGGTTGCCTGCAGCAGTAGATTTCGCACGTTGTTCATCATGCTTGCCAGCAGTTGTCGCATTAATAAACATAATGAAATAGATAATGATGAGCACTGATGATAAAATAACTTCATAGTTCCTATAAACCATGACTTGAAATATTAAGAGTAATATTGTCAATAAATAAACAATAAATTATGCGTGTATATGTCCAACGTTTTAAATATTAACTTAGTTAGAACTATTTCTGTTTTAAAACCTGACAAATCTTTTATATTATATATATATATATATATATATATTCTTTGGTATATGTCTTACGGCAATAGAGAACTTTTGTTACTAATGCGGCTAATTGATTGTAACGCATAGGCACTAATGTAATAATGCATAAATGTGAGTAATAGACAAAAGAAAATACTGATCTCATACTCAAGTACGAAGTGTAAATTTCTTTTTGAGCGTTTAAAGGAAGTTTAGAATAGCTTATCGCTTGAACGTTAAAACTTCTGTTGGACTACCATCGGCGTCAAAATACAAAGCCAGTGGTTATTTTTTGAATAACTCAAAAAAATAACTCAAACTTTAAAAGAAATAAAAGACAGCGACTTGCGGTTTTCACACGGAAGAATATGATATATTTTCACGAAATGGGCTGAACTCCAAACCATTTTTAACAAGTTTTTCATTTTTGACAGACTTATACACTATCGTGTGTGTATTTTGCGAAACAATGTGTTTGTGCACATAATTTGCCTGTGCAAGAGTAGCTGCTTCAATCAGCATACAAAAAAAATACAAGAAAAATTGGGATACAGTCTACTGAATGAAGATTTCAGGCTGAATCTCAGAGTCTGGAGGTTTTTAGACATGCTGATTCCAGTGGTGATAGCAATCTGCTTTGGTGTTTACTTTCATAATGGATTTCTGGAAAAGTAGGCTTTTGAGCAGAGCGCTTTCGGAAATATTGCAATTAACTCCGGCACTCGGTACAATGGTCCGGAGTGGCGAAGTGTATTGTTCTCTTTTAGAATAAAATAGTGATACTTCGCTCAACATTCTTCCCCAAAACATTGTTTTGGGGAAGAACGTTGAGCAGCAAAAGAACACAATTGTTCTTTTTGGGAACACGACTGTTTGGGAATATTTCCCTGGTAACGATGCAATTGTGTTCTAATCTGTAAATTCTTTTCCCACAGACAGAACCTTTTCGTTCTGCTTGTGAGAACAGAGATTTCTGGAACAGCTCAGTTCAATTTTCTTAAGTCCACGCCGCTCCGAGCAGTTCGGCACTTCACGTGGATGGAAGGTTGACAACACTTCAACTTAGTTGAATTTAAAGCTGGACTAATTCACATTAAAATTCTAAATTGTCCGAGTCCACTCTGTCCGGTTGAGATTCAAATTTTAGTTTTCAAATTTCTCCGGAAAGTTGAAAGTTAAAGTCTCACCAGAAATGACTCGAACAAAATTGAAATTTAAAGTTTCATCAGAGCTTTTGCGTTCTTTCATTGAAGGTAATTATAAAATCTATATATTTTCTATGTAATGAAAATAGCGGTGAGTTTCAATTTTGAAGGGCAATTTGAAAGGCGATTATAAGTTTCAGGGTGAGTTTTGACCAATCAACCGGATATATGTAGGTTTGTAGAGGAAGACGTGCTCTGTTCAATGATATATTTATTATGAAATTCGGTTGCGCACCGTGGGAGTAAATGAAACGTAACCCATCTTTTTCAGACCGTTTTAGAAATTTATTTTTAATATTGTGCATTATAGAGTGAAGTGTCCCCTACAAGTCCACAGACCGAACCTTTTCGTTCTGCTTGTGAGAACAGATTTCTGGAACAGTTCAGTTCAATTTTCTTAAGTCCACGCCGCCCCGAGCAGTTCGGCACTTCAGTGTCCTCTACAAAATAAGACCACTCACAGCTCGCCAAGGCCTTTCGTTGAGGAGATATGCAGTTTTTAAAGTTTGTTACTTTACGCTGAAAAAACCCTAGTTTTTTACTTTCAAACAGCTAGTCTTGTAGAGTAAAAACTTCTCTAGAAAGTGAGATGTCTCTCAGCTCTCCACCATATTTTCTAATAGAGTTATAATCATTTTGTTGGAAACCTTTGAAAAAGTCACATTTGTGATATAACGTCCAAAATCATCATAACTCTATCGGAAAATATGGTGGAGAGCTGAGAGACATCTCACTTTCTAGAGAAGTTTTTACTCTACAAGACTAGCTGTTTGAAAAGTTTATCAAGTACTGAATGGAAGAGAAAGAAGGTTCGAAAGTAAAAAACTAGGGTTTTTTCAGCGTAAAGTAACAAACTTTAAAAACTGCATATCTCCTCAACGAAAGGCCTTGGCGAGCTGTGAGTGGTCTTATTTTGTAGAGGACACTTCACTCTATAATGCACAATATTAAACTTAATAATAAAATAAATTTCTAAAACGGTCTGAAAAAGAGGGGTTACGTTTCAGTCGTTCGTTGTCCCCTTACACGGAGAAATAAGATCGTTTATTCTCTATGTATACGAAGATATACAATCCTAATACAAAGCCAGATAAAACGCAGGAATACGATGATATAGAAAAAAATATGAAAGTATAAGGTCGTTTACGGAGTCCGAACTGTTCGTCCTGGGCTAAATGCATTCAGGTTTGTATCGAATTTGACTGTGTTTGACGTCGATTCGCGTTTCAAATACAAAGCAATTACCTGCATTACAATTATCTGTATCTAGCGCCTTCAGTTTCTGAACTTTAAATGGAAATCATTTAACTGTATTGGGAAAATTAGCAAAGAAGTATCTTACAACAACATGTACAAGTGTGCACGTGAGAATGCTTTCTCCATGTCAGCTTATTTAGGAAGAAAGGAGCGTTCTCGTCTGACAGATGAACATTTGTCCATGATTGTTTTTCTAAAAGACAAAGTTGATTGAAATTACAATAAACTGAAAATGTTTATCAAGTTCTTTGAGCGAAAGTTTTCTATCATATGTTCAAAAACCTTTAAAAAAAACAACTTTTGGTTTCATATCTTTTGTCATTGCTTAAAGTTCAAATTTCTGGTAGAAAATCTTGAAAGCTCATTAAAAATGAGACTACGTTTATTGATTATTTGTTTCTTTTATTGTGTCTTAGGCTTTAGACACTGTTGTTATTTTTGCATGTTAATCCAGCTTATGTATGCTTTTTTTGTTGTGATTTTCCATTTTGTTCGAGAAAAAGATAGAGAAAAACATGACTGATATAATAAAAGCTCTTCATTTGAAAGGATAATTATTGGCTACCGATGTACAAAAACTAAAGCAATTGCAATTCTTTCTCTAAGTCAAAAAGTTATTTATACCGAAGTTCGATATTTTCGGTATACCGATACCGGTGCATACCTAACTGTAATACCTCATTTCATAGAGAACTAAATGCTCCATAATCATATTGGATATGGGACCCCAGCCCGCGCGCAGGTCTCGAAAATCTGAATCGACAGTTCGATTCAGAATATTTTTCTCTTCATATACTGAATAAATCAGCTCCGACTTTTCTAATTTATTTTGTAGAGCGCTCGTGTCTACGTACGTTTATTTTATTCGTTTCGTACGGTGACCAATAGAAATCCAAGATGGCTGCCATGCCTAAAATTCTACGTAGAGCGCTTGCTTTTCTCAAAAATAATGGAAAAACACGGAATTTCTTGCATAATCACTAAACAAAAGTCTTAATTACATTTTTTCCGCCAAATGCGAGAGAAACAGGCTTGAGCGCGCACGCTAAATGCGAATTTGGCGCTAAATAGCTCTAATTACTTGTCTTCGCTCTTGCATAGTTGTTTAGTCAGAAGGTCTTCAAAACATTTTCTGAAATTCATGTTATAGCTATGTGAAATTCTTTAGTTCGACCTGATATTTTGATCTTATCGTCACCGCTGATTGTGCAAACTCATTATGAGTTACATATTTCATCTTTTTGCATCATGTTCTCGAAGAAAAAGCCGGGTAAAACATCATGCAAGTTTTTTTCCATCAAGTATATCGGTGTTATTCACTCAGTTTTACAGACGATTATTTGGTTTTCTCGTCGTAAAATTCAGCGCGCTTCCTCTGTTGAGAAACATAAAAATATTTAATGATTTGCCGGGAAGCTGTGTTACAGTGAGCTGATAGTAAAGGAGCGAAACTTTCATTGGAACTAGACGCATTCATTCAACCTACTCGAATATCGGCAACTCTTCAAGAAAGAAGTGCTTTATTTTTGTTCAAAGTACAATGGTTTTTGAAGACATAGCGGTGTTTTATATGACAAACTCAAACGAAGTTGTCTATTCAAGGAAGAGCATACAATATATCCATTATTTAGCCGAGAAGAATAAAAGACTGCAATATTTTGTGGAGAAAGCCGTATGATAGATGATTTTGCAGAAGTCGTTGAACTCGGTTTTCTCCCTCATAGTTTTAGCACTATCTGATAGAGGTAATAGCTCAAAAAAGCTATTTTTTCACGAAGAATTCAGTTTTAGCGAATACTTTTTCTTTGTTCCTCACTTTTGCGCAGATTTTGAGAAAATCACAGATACGGTTTCCTATAACTCATATTAAGCAGCCTTGAATGATGCAAATTTCCATAAAGAATATTTTTCACAATACATTTTGCCAATGAGTACAGAAAAGATCGATCATCAATTTATTTGATCGAGAAATTTGCCTTTTGCGTTAAAATCATAAGCAGTGTACAAGAAGAACCTTTATTAGATATCAGAAAAGTTCTAAAAAATAGATAATATGCACATTCGATATGAACTTTCCTTTCTAAAAATACCTATGTTTTTGCTCATTTTTTTATAGTGCATCGACATATACATTTTTATTGTAAATTGTACACTGTTGTAAATTGCACTGTTGATAAATTGTGTAAAAATACCTAAAATAAAGAGACTTTTAAAAGCTTTAATCGCTCGGCGTTGACGAAATACTTATCTAAATGCACCGAAAATTTGATGCCTTTGCTGTTCTCGCAATATAACGATACATTTAAAACTAATTTTGGTCCTGATCTAAAACGAGATAAAAGAAAAAAAACTGAAGTGCATTTTATCTTGGATAGAACTTTTTAAGACACGCTAATATCATTCTTGGCACATTTTTCGACAAGCATGACGGTTTAACAAGATAGAACATGGAAGAAAAAACGCCTTTATTTATGTGTCGATTTTTCGAAACGCTGACTTGAAATTACATAGAAAATCCGGTTTCTTATCCAATGCAGCTATTCATGTCATATTAAAAGATCCCGCTGGATAATATTAGAAATTTGCCACCTCTACAAGTGGCCACTTTCAGTATATGTTTAGAAAGCCCTGACTTTGACGCACATGAATCGGATGTTGGATTCCGAAAAGGTCTAAGTGCGTATAGACAAAAACAGTCTTTTTTTGATTGTAATACGTCATTACAGTTAGAATTTAGTAAAACTACTATATCTCAAAAACTTGAAGATTTTTGAAAGTCTATAAGTATGACAAATGACACCACTTAATAAAATTGTTACAAGGCACGAAAACCTTTTTCGCCAAAAAAGGGTGAAATTCTGCTCGTTATCGACGATTTTCACTTCGGCGATGACTCAAAAAAACTTGAATAGTATCTCAGATTGTAGAGCTCATCTTCCTCTACAAAAGTGGTCTTCATCACTTTTCCATAAATAAACAAACATTTTTTCAAAACATTTACTCTAACCATGAACCTTATCCAAGAGCTACATCACGGTGGTAAGCTCCTTAATCATATGACAGCTTTTTACAAAAAGTTCGTTATTGTCACAATATGAGGTGTTGTACACGAAATAAGAATCAGAAATGAAAAATATTAATTCAATCAAGAGCAAGATTTCTGGAAAGCCATTATTCTAGAAAACCAATACCTATGCACAAAATGTTTCTGATTGTTTGATACTTTCAGCACATAGAGCTGATCAAAATGAGTCTGTAGTCAAAGTTTTGCGCATATACTCTTAATCTTCACGAAACTAGAGAAACTTCTTTCAAGTAAAATTCGTCTATAATCATAAGTTCTGAACTAAACTTCATAAAACTTCGACCACACGCTTATTTTGATTATATCTGTAGCTGGAACGACCAAACAATCAAACAAATTTTGTGCAGGACCATTTATTATTATTCAGATATCAATTAGAATCGAAACTGAGAAACTTTCTAACAAAGTCGTTTCCACAAACAAATTCAAGGAAATGATTGAAAACTAATAAGAGCTAGCTAGTCAATATTCATGTAGAATCAAAAATATTTTTCTTGCCCATCAAACTTCTGAAAGTTTCTGATGACTAGCTGTTAGAATATTCTACTATAAAAAACTCTTCTTTCCTTTTAGTTCTCTTTCGCCGCTCTTTGACATTTTCATTGCTTTCGTCCGTCCTTGATATATCTGTATAAAAAAATATTTATATGCGAATTATACCTGCGAATAAGCCTGTCATTCCATTCCGGCAGACGAAATTCTCACGATCTGATCTGCGCAGGTCTTTGTGTACATTGACTGTGCACTTCTTCTTCTAGATTTCATCATCTTTTTTTCATGTCTATATAAAGGAGTGTTTTTCACAGAGTCAGTCAGACAGCCTCATATCGTTCTTATGGTCGTCGTCTTTCATTTTTTTGTCACTGTTTGCTTCTCATCGTTTAAAAAATATACATTTTTAAACTATCAGCGATCTCCTGATCCAACTATAACATTATAGTCTTCAGATTCGGTCACAAAGTCTAAGGTAATTTTTCACTACATCTTCTGTAATCGATATTTCTGGATTTTTCTAGTAGAACATAACATGATTCAAACAACAACAACAAACAGAGCATCAACGTGTATTCTTTGCCAAAATGTAACACCTAGCTGTGGTCCATTATGTCGTAGTTGTAGCTCTCTTAGTCGGGATGCACAATTTTCGAGAGCTTTAGGAACATTACAAGAAATTGCGGAGGGTGGATTCTATGATGATCAAACTGATATTGATATATATGGTCAATGCAAATCGCTCGAGTAAATCACTTCTCTAACTATAATAAGTTTTTGTATAGTTTTAACCATTAAACTACTTTAGACAATTAATGCATTTGTATGAGCCTTTAAATTATTTACCCATCGAATTCATTACAGGAACATCGGCTGAGAATATTGACTTAGTGGCAGATGATTACAAAATAAAATATACAAATGCTGACATAGTAAGTCACCTAGTCTCCCGAAACTGTTCTTGTCAAAAAGCCGACTTTCATCGTTCATTGAGATAAAAAAGATATTCAGTTTAATTTTCAATTTAAAAAGTAAAGTAGTGATAAATTTTAAGAATAGGAAACGCTAAACTGCCAAGAAAAAGATTCATATCTAAAATTCACTCGAAAACTATTCAGCAAAAAACTCTTTTAAGTACGATTTAACGTAGAGCGTTAATGAAGTTCGCGAACAGCTGTGAAAATAAATTCAAAACAAGTTGAAATCTCTTTTTCTTTTGAAATCCAAGGCTCAAGCATATCGTTACTCTTTCGAGGTTCTGACATGGATTTTATAAAAACCTGAGAGTTTAGACAACTGTCGTTATTTCATATGAAGTTTTTAAGTTAACTGAAAGATTTTTTTTCCGTTACCAGATACTTCTTAGGTTGGAAAATTCTAAGTAAACTCTTAATGTTGAGTTTCTCGCAAGTGAATATTTTTGTTATGTATATAGAAAAATTCCGGAAGAAAAATTTTGTTGGCATCCTTAGCTGTCTACCATAACGCACTATCACAATTGCTCTGTATACACGTATTTTTTGTAATTTGCTTTTTTCCTATATTTATTCAGAAAAAAATGGTACCACTAACTACGAACCCTGACGGTAATTGCCTTTACAATGCTGTTAAAGTATTGATGCCAAATTTTGAGGCAAGCCCTGTTGAACTTCGAGTTCGAGCAAATGTTGAATTGGCAGTAAAATTGAAAGATTACCAGCAAACATACCCACATTGTACTGATTTCATTGATCCATTTCGTCAATATCAAAGAACAGAAATAATCTACGATAAGAACTATTCTACATTATGGGAGATTTTAGCACTATGCAATATTCTTCAATGCTCGATCCGATCTGTTTATCCAAAGATTAGAGAAGATGCTGATGATGCTGGAATGTCAGATCTTCTTAATAAAACATTTCATCCTTTTTCAACAACTAATTCAACAAAGTCAACATCAACAATCACTGTAATGTGGACACATACAGCTGAAGAGGATACTGTACGTGCAGTTAATTATGGTATGTGGGTACCAAATCATTTTGTTCCACTAGTTTATCATTATGACACAAAATCATCGTTTACAATTGAACGGCATCCACCACCGGTTAGATGCTTTAAAATTTCTTCCAATCCTGTTCCGTCAGATGACATACGGGTATTTTTCAAGTTCAGTTTTGTTTTTGGAATGAATGAGATCAATCGGAAAAAATTGTTTTTTTTAAAAACACTTCCAAAACAGAAATCTAGCTTTCAGTCAGAAAAAAAAATTATCATCTTGAGCATTATTCATTTCAGAAATTTGTGTGATATTGAAATGATTTTAAATGATATTTTTTCTTCAGCCTCTGTTAAAAACAAGTAAATATAACCCAACAGAAAGAAGAATTAGAACACCAACATTTGAATCATCAAACGTAAACATTGCCTTCGTTTTTATACAAAGCAAGATTGAATATATGTTTACTGTATTTTTTAGATACCTGCAAAACGCACTCGTTTTCAAAGTGATATTTTTTCTGGTGTCGTAAAAGTAAGTGCTACCATGAATAAAAAGTGTTCTCTCAACATTCTACCCTAGTAAATCCCACAGTGCAAAGTAGAAGACTTTTGCTTAATGATCACTGAAAAAGAAAGGAAAAGCCATATTATCCAGGAAAACGCAAACTGATCGAGAAAAAACTTAAAACTTAAAAAAGTAAATCTTCGCGATTCATGTTTCTCTAATAAACATAATTGGAAGATCAAATCCTGATAGTTCCATGCATGACCTGTGAAACTTTTGGACATCGATTTTGACATTTTTTTGAAATGTCATATTTTTGCCGATATCGATAATGTTGATTCTGCTCATTGAAAAAAAAAGACAAAAAGCTGTAGTTCTTTATGGTGACTGTATATATGAAAAGTTTTACATTTCTGGCAGTCAGGCCATTTTGAAGAGGACATCAAAATATGAAGCTTTTAAGAATTTTTGTTTATGACTAGGGGAAGGATCGTGCCCTAAGCAAAAGGTTTCTACTTCGAACAGACTTACTAGGTTAGCGTTAAACCTTTTTTTCTTTCTCATGATTGTTAAAAAATACGAATTTTTAAATTACTCTAGGAAGATACTCATGAACGAACATTAAGAATTAACATTGAAGATTTTATTAAGAAAGATGAGACTTTAAAAGACAATACAATGATTGAAGACCTTGTTAGAAAATCATTAGATAGTTTAAAAAAAGCTTCCCAAGTATGTGACAAAGAAATTTTACAGAACGAAGTTAAAAAGAAACTTCATAATTTAATATCACATAAAATTGCTTATGCCAGAAAACATCATCAAACAAAATCTACCAGCTGGCCACAATATTATATTGAAGTGAAGATTCCAGTAGAACCATTTGGCCATTCTGTTATGGTAAATGAAGACGAAGCTGACACACTCAACTTTACTCCACACGCTACATCATCCTCAACAATAACAAAAAAAGTATCACCTCCAATCCAATTTTCAGGAGTACAGTTTCATGGAAGACATGATAAAAAATATATAGAAGTAAACTTTTGTGATCTCAATTTATTATCTCAATCTCAACAACAAAAACAACAATCCAACTTCTACGATGATAACCCTAATTATGAAGATAAAAATATTGAAATTATTGGAATAAACGATGATGGATTTCGTGTTCAAATTCCAACCTCAGTAATTGCAGATTGTGTTACAAATTTTAGTGAATTTTCATCAGAAAAACTTGATATTCTGTCTGATCATATCAAGAATTTATTGAAATCAAATTCTATTGATCCTATACCGTCAGCTTTTGCTCCAAACTTCAGCCGGTCTGTGAAGAAATGGTTGCAAGTTGATATTAATAGAATTACGCAAAAAGCACAATTCATCACGTTCTATGTTCCACTCGTTCGAACCCAAACACTCATACCTTCATTCGTAAGTAAAACGTAAATTTTATCTTTTTTTCAAATAATAGTTATTTATCTGTTCGGGAGCGACGGAAAAGCTCATTCTAGAAAATTCGCTCCAAATCGCTATTAAAAGGGAGTCTGAACTTTTTGTAAAAGTTATTAAGCATGGTAGAGAAAAATATCACAAAAAAATGACTAATGTTTGGACTTTTTAACAAATAAACAGATTTTGCTGGATGAAACTTGAAATCGAGAAAAAAAAATTGTTTTTTTATACTAAAAATCTTTCCTGAAAAATAACATCCCATATAGCGAGAGCGCTAAAATTAGCTAAAGTCTAATTAAACTCAAACTTTCAGCAAGTACTTTTCTACGGGTGCTGCATACATAGTATTAGTACCTCATTCTAGATACGCCTAGTGATTTACAACAAATTGTATGTTCTGAGGTCAAAGCTGCAGCTCAAAAAGCATTTTTAGGCAAACGTCTTTCAGATTAGTAATGAGCGTGACGACCTGCATCAAACCGGGTATAATGTAAATACTTTTCAACCAAAAGTTTTCTCGAAAAACTTTCAACCTCGTTCTGATGCGTTTTAAACGAAAAAAAAATTTTTTTAAACCGTTCTGTTTTTCACTTAGACAATTACTAGACGAATAGTAGCGTCAACTATTTAAAAAATCTTTTCTCACTAAAAGCTGCCATGTTGGCCTGTTACGCAAAATGTACCCACTGCGAGTTTTAACCATGAATTAATCCATAGTAATAATTTAGTAATTTTTTTGATTACAGAATTCTTTGTCTAAATAATGTTCGCATAATATTTCTAGAATACAAATCTACGACCCCGTATTCCAACCGTTCATTTCAATGCTGCATCTTCTCCCTCTCCTTTATCCCCACGTGTTTCATCCTCTGATGACAATTTAAAAATTATTTACAATCCAGCTACTACGCTTATTGCATATCAAAGTAACTTTGATCCACTTGATCATGACGACGCACAACAAAAAAGCACTGCAAATGTAAATGTCAGCAACAAACAGAAAACAGCTACAAAAACAGCAGGAGCTTCAACATCAACTCTGAGAAAATATGTTAGTGATTCCACCGATTTTTCAGACTCAGAAAATGAAAGTAAATATGATGAAGACTATTTAAGCAATAAGGAAAGTTTGATGAAACAACTATCAAATACATTCGCAAAAATGACATTAAGTTGGAAAATGCAATTTTCAATTACTAATAGGGCTTATGTAAGCGTTCATTAGAAAAAAAATTTTCTATGCTATCAGTGTAAACTAGTAATCTTATAGGTTTCATTAATCGAACTTGCACGGAAGCTGGACCGAAGTTTGCTACAATTTAAAGTTGTCAACAAGTTAAAACAAACAATTCAAGCACAAATTCCATTACAAGAATGCAAATATGGCTGGTATCTACATGTGTTTCATGCTGTAAGTTTTATGAATTCAACTTTTTTTTCTATAAAAATTGTTGTAGATCGAAATGACTTAAAATGAATTATTCTTAGATGAGAGGCTGAATTCAGTCATTTGATCGGTCTACATCGCTTGATTCTCAATTCATTTACTCTTGGGTTTTGATTAAAGCTGGAAAAAATTGTCTCAAAAAGCATCTGGAGTGGCATAAGAGCAATTGCAGATAAGTCACGACCAATCGTGCTCAATCGACTCTCTCCAAACTTAATTTTAACTCCATGGTTAGAAAGCACAGCTTATTTCTAGTTTTTGGCCGAAAATCACAACTCTCCATGTCAAATCGCTATTAAGATATTCAACTTTTAAAACAAGTTGACATTTTTTCGATGGAATTAGGATCAGTTACTAGAAATAAGCTGTGTTTTCTAACCATGTAATTGAAATTAAGTTTGGAGAAAGTCGATTGAGCACCTTTTATGTAGCAATTAGTCATCGCTCATGTAAGCGACTCATGTAAGCGATGACTATGTGCAATAGCTCATAAGAGAATAGAATGAGAAATGCTGTTATTCTAGACACACATTCAAAACTGTATCGAAAGAGTCTGACAAAAACGCACCAATTTTCGTTTTCAATATTCAGGCTCTAGTAAAAATTTCAAGACATTAGAATTATCGGGCCACCCTAACAGAAAAAAGAAAAGGTATCGGTAAAGATATAAACCGTAGAGACTTCTGCGGGTTTGATGATAGAACTCCAGTCAATAAGTGGAGAAAAAATATATGTGTTACGATTTCCGACGTGAAAAATTTCCGTTCAGATTCAGTTGTTAATAATTTCGAATCCTGGTGTAATCGATACGATCGATTCCGAAAATCCAACATTATGGTTTCGTGTTGCACAGGATGGAACATGGCTTGGAAAGTATTGCAACTGTTTAATCGTCACTCTAAGTTGGCTTGATATTGGTACTACTAGTCAACAGCCTCATCATATGGTTATACTTGGTATTTTTCGGATACCAAAAGAAACTCGAGAAGCAGTATGTCGATTTGTTCATTGTATATTTCTTGCCTTGCAATTTATAGCTTCACATTTTTTCAGTTAGAAAAATGTGTTCCAGTCGATTTTATGAACATGTTTCGAAGGGGTCAACAATTCGACGTAAATAGTAAAAGATATAATTTAAGATTTGCGTTATCTACAGACTATAAGATGGGATCTCTTCTAATGGGACTTGCCGGTGTACGAGGAAAAAATTTTTGCAACTGGTGTACATGTCATGCAAACGATAAAGATAATTTTGATAGCTATTCCGCTTTCAATCCTAAAGAAAATGCGGTGAGTTTCATAAAGCATGCTGAAGAATAATTCTACCGTTTAAATGTTTATATTTTTCATATTGTAGAGAAATCTAACTCAGCATTACTACAGTTTAGCAAAACAAGAGAAAGGGTATATGGAAAGACCACTCTATGGAAGTTATTTCGAGTAAGGATTTAGTATACTTCAGTAGTTATAAATTCTTTTTTTTATTCTTACCTATACATAACTGATTTTTTCACAACAAAATACCATCGAAAAAGAAAACAATCATATTATGTTAGTCATATTATTTTAGGCTTCATATTAGGCTATATTTTCTGTTTCCGAAAAAGAGCTGCACGCAGAAGGAATAATGTTCAATAGAAATCTCGGAAAAGATACAGAAGAGTCAGTTTCTTTCTACGCTTTATGATCGATTCAAAAATTAATTACTCATCTATCATTCTCTACGCCTTACATGAAATACGTAGTTTTCGTTCGATAGAAGGAATATGAAAATTTTTTCTTAGCCCAACTATACGCAAACTAAAAAAGTTCATACAATAACTGAGGGAGAAATGTTTGCACGAATATTTGTAATTATCGTTCCATATGGAACAAATATTTTACAATAATTGCGTATAATGAATATTTGATGCTTTCTTAGATATATCGATCTGGTACCAGACATACTTCATATGAAGCTAAGAATTATGGATATTTTATTGAAACATATACTATACGAAGCTTGCACTGTTCCACCTCCTGGTAATATAAGGAAACAACAACAACAACGCGAAATTACGTTAAAACTTCTCAAACAACATTCAAAGGAAACTAAAGTAAGAGGCAAAAGCTGCATTACCATCACAAAAGAAAATATACACAAAATATTCAACTTATCATTTCCGAGATGACTTAAGTCATGCTATAGAACTAATACATTTTTGCATTGCTACTTGTACTCATACCTCAAAATTAATGAAAAATTCTCTTGATTTTAGACTTACATTAAATTTGGACTAGAAAAACAAAAAATCGTTATAATTGGTCCCATATCCGGTGATAAGCATGATATCTTTATGCCAAAATTACAGTTACAAAAATTCATATGGAATCAGCAAAGAGCACAAATCATAATGAGTCTGATACAAAATTTTTATCGTATTTTGGATTTGTTAAAAAAGGAAAATGATCCAAATAATCCATTAGAAGTTAAACGTTTATGTAAAGAATGGGCGCAAACTTATCGGAATTTATTCGGAAAAGACCAAGTAAGATGGTTTTTCGCTAATATAGTAAAAGATTTTTAAAGAAAGACGTAATCAGATAATACGAAATCGGATGAAGTCCTATTTTCCGAAGAGAAAATTTTGAACTTCACCTTGGTTAGAAATATAATATTCATTCAAAAAGTAAAAAACAAGTCTAAATGTTTCATTCGGAAGGACAGCAAAAAAACTCTTTTCAAGGCTGGATCTTCTTCAGAAAGTTTATCTAAATTACGTCATTACAGTCAATCTAGCAAACTCGCACTGAAAAGAAAGCATCCTATAGAAAAGTCTGTTTCAAAAATTCATTCAGGTTACAAAATAGCATCAGAAAAGAAGAAGTTATTAGGACTTTTCTTTTTCCATTTAGTTGCGAGAAAAATGTGGGAAAAAATAAGAATTTTTTTCCGTTTATGTATTAGTAATAAGGCACGATCTTTTGAGAGAAAGAGAAACTAGAAAAATTATTAATCAAAATTATTCTTTTTCTTAAAACTAATTTATATAGAAAAGACGAAGACTAGAAAAAGTACAGGAAAGTAGTAAGAGAGAGTTGAAGATAAAGAGCTGTATGAAAAATATAAATACAACGAGAACCAGTGCATATTTCGTTCTGCATTGAAGATAGCTTATTTTTTGTTTCGGAAAAACGCAAGCGTATTCCGTTAAATTTCATTTTATTCTTTCTTCTTGAGAAAGAGCGAAAATGAATATTGGGAAGATAAACATGTAATGCTTTGTTTCAGGTAACTCCGTACGTGCATTGTTGCGGTTGTCACATCGCGGAATTCCATCGCGCATATGGAGAGCTTAAAAAACTTAGCCTTCAAGGTGTAGAGAAGATAAACGATATGGTTACGATTGATTTTTTTCATTCAACGAATAAACAAGGAGTATTGTTTATAAAACAAATTTTACAGAAAAAAATACTTCAAACGCTTCTTACATTAACATTTGGAGTAATGACACATATTTTTGATACGTGGGCAAGTACCTATTTTGAACCACGAGATCCTGATAAAGATGAAGTTATTGAAGATTCCGGTGATGAAGACGAATCATGGTAAATAGATAATAGTTCATCTTCTTTTAAACTTACTCTATTCAAAATTCAAACAGAACTGATTACAGCTTGTCGCATATTAATTACTTTTGTTTCATTTTGTTTTTAGATATATTACTGAAATTTTCGTATTTTTTATTAAAGCATTTTTAACAAATTAGTTACTGGTTACATTACAAATTACATGAGTACTGGTTTTTGATTAATCTACGAGAAATATGGCAAAAATGTTGGAAGACCTGACCCATCCAACCCGTCAACAACTTATTCATAATAAATCTGAAGGACATAAATCTATTTTTGAGCTTATTTTGCAATCTGTCACTTTATTGTCTGTTCAGGAATACAGACAGAACATTAGTATCTGTAATAACAGAGACAGAAAATAACATCAGTTCCATAAACATTGCTTAAACTTAAAACTCACTCAGTACTTGATAGAAAAATACATTCGCTCGTAGACATCATTTTTGGAACTACACTCCGAAAACAATAGCTAACAGCTGATACAGCGTCATCAAAAAAGAAAGCTCATTAAGAATTCCCAAGGAAGAAATATTCTTCCTTCATTACTCTCACTATTTTTACTAAACTCTTTCTGGAAGAAGTGAAATTTGTAGTCAGGCACATTACTCGAAAAGGCGAAAATACGGATATGGATGAAATGTGATTTTGAACAATACACTTACCCTCAGTCTTGATCTGCTTCTATTAAATGTGACGCTTTCGAAAGAGGATTTTTTATGTACATATCGTGCAGTTATAGAGTATATTTGTACTTCACAACGATTTTCAGAAGAACAATAGTATGTTTATCTTTCTCTTTTCTTTGTTCTTTTTTTTTCTCTCTCTCTCTCTCTCTGACTTTCTGGTCTCGAAACAGACCTTGATTAGTAGAGTGGTTGCTTTTAATTAGAACAGAAATACTCGACGAGCGTAGTATTCTCTTCATCTTGATCTTATTCTTGAACTTTTTCCAAAAAAGTTTTCACCATTGTATAGCTGATAGTCTCAGGAATCGAACAAAAAAAAAATTTCAGTTTATCATTTAAAATGAGGGAGTTCTTGCCCGTATAATACACTGCACTTCATTTCTGTTCTTATTAAATACCGTATTTATTTAGAACAGACCGACCACTGAATATATGCTTTTAATTAGAACACGTCTATTCAAATACACGTGCTTTTTTTACGAATGGAGAAAAAAAGTTTTTTTTGCTACCCGACCTACGGAATTTTAGGATACTTCTAATATAAAACTTGTTCAGAATTCGATGAGGAATCGAAGCATGTGCGTTTTTTTGAACACGGATGTACCATTCTTGAACTATGAGAGCTCAAACTTTCATCCTTTTTGCTCGAATTAAATACTGTATTTAATAAGAACATTTCGTCTGTTCTGTGCTTTTATTTAGAACACTCCCA